TCTTTACCGTGTTCCTAAGAGTCCAACACTTGCCCCATTCTGGATAGATGCAACCATATCCTTTAAAATCCATTTTAATATAATTCTCTCATCTACGATTAAGTCTCTCAGTGTGCTTCCCTTCAGGTTTGTGGCCAAAATTCCGCATATATTTCCCATGTACCCCACATTTTTCCTTTCGCAGATTATTTAACTTGTTCATTATGTACGGGCTGAGGAGTGACGAATTAGCAAGGGTTTCGAAGGAAGCTATTGTGGCCTGGTGGAGGTACTGTCCCAGCATTTGCCTAGAGGGACTCAGAAAAACCATGAAAAATTTCGGTCAGGATAGCCAGTACCCCGGCCGACATTCAAACCGCGGACCTACCGTATACAATTCGGGAGCGTTACTTCTGCACAAGTCTGTTCGGTCGTGTAGCCATCGTCCCGAGAGCCCTTGTATCAGGGCCCCCTAGTGGCTGTCACAGTCGCATATACTTGGTAGTGAAATCATATGTCAGAATATGCGTTTACAGCTTCACAAACAAAGTTCCAAATTAGTCATAGGCCTTGAATGGTTTTATGGCTCTCTTCTGTTTCCATTAGCCACGACCGTGCTGTGTAGTAATAGGAAGTCTATTGTACTTTCTCCTGTTGCCTCATTGCTGTGCAAGTCGTGAAGCATAGCGAGACGTCATCATGAGAATAATAAAACAGCTGAATTGCACAGGCTCTGTGTGTGGCGTGCACTGGTGGTCCTGCCCTTGGTCTAAGTAAAATTAGATTTTAAGCAGAGATGACCATTTCTGCATACCAGCTTGGGATTCCCATGTGAGTGGCCACTGATATTCTCAGATTCTCCAGAAACTACCAACTTATGTTGGTATATATTCCAGCGACGTTAAACTTTTCAGTGTGACTGATTTTAACTAAATTTAATTAGAATCGACCTATTTTTATTCATATTTTTTAATTAATGAGAGTTGCATTGCAAGTCATATGAAATTTTTACATACCGCGCAGTGCAGCAGCTATAGCTTAGTGCTCGACAACTGACGATGACCATGCATGGCCGAAGTTTATTGTGAATAAAGAAAACGGCAAGCATTCGTGACGGATTTATATTATATCATATAACTGACATCAAAATTTCGCACCATCGCCGTATTTGTAATTGTTAATAAATAAAGCACAAAGCATGTTTCATACATATTTTATGCGCATTTTCATGTTCTACATATACAATTTACATATCGCCATTGAACAAGAAGCTAAATACAGAAATCGCGCGGCTGCCATGTTGTTGTTTTAGATTCTACAAGAATTCCATAATTTTCAGATCTCTATACCATACGACATTTCAGAAGTTGCACGAGTATTGTTTGTACTCCAGAAGTTCGCACGGCCGCCGTTAATTATAGGTAATTAACAATGAAAGGCTAGGCTGGAATGTAGTGCCATTATATTCATGAGAGACCATCAGTTGGAATGGAGGGAGGAGATTACACGCATACAAGTATGAAGACACAGATGGTCACATAATGAAATCATCAAACTTGATTTCCTTACTCTGCATCCAGCCAAGTAACGTGTCAGAGATTCAGCCTTTAACTTACGACCGAAGATGCCATGTGTTGCGTGGTAGGGCTGTTGCACCCCTGAGAGGGAGGTGCTATGTGAGTATGAAGCAATGGCAGGATGATGAATAACGGGGAAGAACTTGTTCCAGTACCACTGTATACACAATCTCACATAAAGCCACCTGATATTGAACTTGAGGCTCCGAGGTTCGAAGCCAGCTCGTAACGGTAAAAGCTGTGGCACGGCCCAATGAAATCATTATTAAAACATTTCAGTGTGTACGGTTCCTAATAACGACTGGAGAAGTGTTGGCTTTTGGCCGGACAGTAACAACGACATACAGTAAGATGGTTACTTCAAGTGCATATGACTGGAAAAGAGCCTTTCTGGAGAAGCTAAGTCGCTCACCTAGATATTCGTCAGAATTCATGGACCCTGGGGGTTCATTACCATGTTCACACAAGCAGAGTACTGAGCCGGATGAAGTCAGTCCACACCCTTATACCTTGTTTTATAAAATGTACTGGTCCCCCATCTACGTCCGTGTTTTCTTAACTGTATCTCCCTCCGGCTTTTAGTACTACAAATTTATGGCTATTTCTCATGTCTCTTTTACGTGATACACTTCCGCACCTTCAAATTCCATTTGATTTCGTCACCTTAATAATATCTGGGGAAGAGTGCAAATTGTGAAGGCCCTCATTATCGCTTCTTTCTTTCTTCTGCCACTTTCTGTACCTCAGGTCTAGACATTCTCCGCTGTGCCTAGTTCTAAGACACCTTCAATCACTGTTCACACTCATACACAACAGGAGGTAAAGTTGTAGTTCTCTATTTTAATATTATGTCAAATATACATACATATACATGTCCCGATGAGGTCATTGGATTTTTTTTTCAATTCACCTCATCCTTCCAGCCGCACTACGCCCTAGGGTTTACTCAGCTTCTAACAGAAATGAGTACCAGGAATTAATTAATTAATTTTCCTTGGGAGTAAAGCGCGGCCGGCGCGTAAGGCTGACAACCTTACCGCCATCTTTGAGCCGACTGTCTAGATAGTGTGGGACCCTAAACGTCTCACAACCCTATGGGCCTTCACGGCCTGGTACAGGGATAGCTTTTTTATATGCATACATACGTGTGTGCGCGTGCGTGCGTGCGTTTAGGGTAGAACCATTTTCTTGAAGGACTGATCAAAAGGTGAACATTTTAAACAAACGAAGAAGACTACAAATATGAACTTTCATTATACTCGTAAATATATTTTATTGCTGAGACTTACATTATCCGGGCCGAAAATATTATAACTGATATAAAAATAAATAGTTTTTATATTTGTGTAATCTCGTTTTCCCTTGTTTATACACGCTTCTCCAACAATGGAATGACGGATATAACAGACTAGTAAAAGTGTAGGAAGTACTGCTATGAAAACAATGTTGAACCAAATGGAAGTTTCAAGCCTAGGTGAACATTTCTTATGTTGTGAATGCGGGATCTGTACAAATCTATAATGCATCTAGCTGTTATTCTAACTCGTGTCACTGAAATGAGAGCTAATTTTCATAGCAATAATTCACCCCTTCTACAACCAGGTACTTGCCCTGTGTTGTCACATTGGGAAGTCAATTCACATGAATTACCACAGATGAATATTGTACATAAACTACACCATGGTTTGAAGACTACCTTAATTTTAAGAAATGATCGTTAGAATGGATTTTTATATGTTGTTAGGATGTGTATATATTGCCAACACCAGAGAAACCTGACGACAAAGACACTGATCGTATGCTGCAGACATGGCTTGGATATTCTGAAAAATGCAGATATTGATATCAACATGCATTATAGAGAGTGTCACGTAACTTCGAACAAGGCCCCGCATTCCTAGTCAAATCCCGGTCATAGCTTGTGGTGGGAGGAGTTTCTTAACACTCGTTCTTCCACTGGCCGCCTGTCACTTCTCACACCCTCCACCCCCTTGTCTGAAATTTTTCTTCTGCGCATTCAAGGTTACTCTTGGCCTTGTTCGAAGTTACGTGACACTTGCTATAAATATCGGTGTACATGTATGCATTATATAATATTGGTGGTGATACATGTATCCATAAACCAAACGTCAGATCTGTTTAAATACACATTCCTTGTATTTCAATTGGCAAGCGTGGATGTCGTTTAAAAACATTCCTCAGCTCATTAATTATCCCAGTGAAATAAGATATAGCCAACAAATACTGCTTCTCGTTTTTTTTTTTTTTTGGTAGCGATGTATGTGAGGTAGGCATGCAAAGTAACGTTCATATAACACAATACAATGAAACCAGTAAGTCGATAATATTGCGGTACTGCAAATGTGCAAAGGCATCACGTATAAATTATTGTTTTAAGGAATACTTATACACTACACGTAACGTACAAATCATTTTGTTTCTTCCAAGATACAAAATAAAACATATAACTGCCAGTTTAATTAAACACGTGGCATGCTCAGTATACCTAACCACTTGGCGTAAAAACAAAATACAATTAGTAGTTACCACAAGGATAGAGATATTACGAGAGACAGTGACTGTGGCAACTGGTAACCCATAATTCACAAGAGGATATTCTGTAGTTTATCTGCGTGTTAAGTGATTTTAATTTGCTTATCAGTGTCGCATACACCCTTATGGATAACGAGTCATTTGAAGAAGTCTTTATCTTCTGGGATATAATGCTGTGCAGTCCGTTGAAAGTCCTCCGACGTTTCGGAGGAAGATGTAACCTTCATCCTAGGCCGCGCCATAGCTCAAGCGGTTAGTCGCTGGTTTCCCACCGCGGCGGCCCGGGTTCGATCCCGGGTCTGGTCAAGTGGGATTTGTGGTGGAGAAAGTGTCGCTGGGGTAGGTTTTCTCCGAGTACTTCGGTTTCCCCTGCCAATCTTCATTCCACCAACTGCTCCACAATCACCCTCACCTATCATCTGGGGCTGGTACAATAGGCCAGAAGTGGCCGCAGTACAAGGGACTTAGTCCCACCCCACTAGCAATAAAAAAAATAATAGTCTCACCCCTCTAGCATTAAGAAAACATCAATGCTAAGGGACGAAGACTATGTCAATCGAAAATCCAGCAAAATCACCAGGTAAAAAGCAGTCCTTCCGAAATATCACTTGATTTTCAACGGACTGCACGGCATCATATCCCTGAAGATGTAACTTTTAACAAGGACAGCTGTGAGAATCTGAAATCCTACAACCGATCATTCGGCCGTTAAGTGGCATGCTAGAATTAGTATCAGTCCTATTTTAGGTTCCTATAAAGTTTATAAAGGTACAAGAAATTACCACACATTACACCTGTAACTGAAAATACACATAATTTAACATACTGGCTGCTGTGCATCTTTTCTTTCAGGATGTATTATCTATGTTGAGTTATGAAAAGTCACAGGAAGAAAGGAAAAACTGTTTATTCATTGGACAAAAAAAAATGTAACAAATATATACAGAAGTTTTGTGATAAATTCGGGGAATACAAATCTTTAAATTAAGTTTTAAATTCGTATTTTGTACAGATAATTTAAGCAGAATGAAACGTGGGGTGAACAGAAGCCCACGTTTATATGCACTGCCATGGTCAGCAACGTTTCCCTCGCGAGTGAAAATCCTACTGAATTACCATTGACAATGGACAGTGTCCAGAAGAATAGTAGTAAAATCAATCAATCATTGTCAGAAATCTTTTGTTGCCTTAGACACACTTTCATAATATTAAAATGCCCTAAGTGTCTCGACTGTAAAACATCGGCGATAAATTTACTTTCCCACGTGTCAATAGCCATTAGAGGAACTTGAGATCAAAGATACGACTTTCCCCCAAAATAAATGAACGCCTCATATATTCAGTCCTACCCGCAAGGACTTCGTTAGTTCTAGATCATAAACGGAATAACTTATTCACCTCTCGTGGAGAAGGATTTCTTGGGAGACGATCCTTTTGTAACAGTTTTGCTCTGAAGATATTCCAGTAGTGCACTGCGAAGAAACATGTCTAGTTCAAAAGTTCTTGTGCTACGTAGCCGTGAGTTTGAGTGTGCACACTGGGCCCTATGCATTCACAAGCAGATAACATCTCTTCAAGCATTTAGGACTCAATACCTGAACATGAGCATATCTCATGCGATTGCTTTGCGTAAAATAATTATTCCGAACCAGAAATTACAGCGCAATGTTCCTGGTTTCTCTTTATTGCAATGTGCCATGTAGAAATGTCAGATTATACTTGTATTGTAAAATTATTACTTTTCCGTCATCTAAAAACAATTATGTACATTTTCACGAAGCGATACAATATATCCGTACGTTGTAGTTTACGAACCTAATACTGATGCAGTATTCTTACTCAGTGAGGTAAGAAAGCATTGAGTAGGGAGCAAATCAGAATGTGAATACCACTGCAATTTTCCTTTGCGAAGTGACATCATTTATCTGTTTGACATTGCCAAACCAATTAATTTTCCTTACTGAACATAATGGAAACTTAAATACTCCGAAATACGGTTTGGAAATACTAGAAAATATGGTCTTTCTTTCGGCATTTATATTAGGATAGACGTACATCATCTTCGTAATTGAGGATCAAACTTGCTGAACACCGCTAGGAGTTTCCACAATGGAACCAATGCTACAAGTACTGCTTTTCTTTTGGAATTTGGGGGGTACACCCTGAGGATACCCGTTGACCCGCCCACTGCTGGGAGTCCTGGACGCACCGTTGCTCCTCCCACCGCACTCATGTGGAGCCTCATTGTTCGACTTACTGAGACCTGTTCTTCCGCAGCCACGGATATCAGCACTGCCTTTTCCACTGAACCAAAGACGAGTGAAACACTTGCGGAAGTTCTCCGAGAGAACTCCATAAAGGAGTGGGTTCACCACTGTGTTCAACAACGCAACAACTAGGGACCAGATGAAGTGATGTGATCTAAGGAAGAAATTTGTGTCTTCATACGGCCGGCGACCATCTATATAGATGAGGAACATGACGACGGTGATGGGTAGCCACATGAGGAGGACCACGATTACGTTCAGTAACAGCACCCTGACCACTCTGAGGTGCTTGTTGAGGCGGAGTTCCTCGTGCTGTGACATCGAGCCATTCCGACCTGGTGACATGAACTGCTGGCTCGCCGTCGAAATCTTCCTGGTCCACGGTATCACCAGGCTGCCCACGAAACTCAGCTCGCTGTCGCGTCTCACGGTCGGGGTGTCTGCACCCGAGCAGTCCGTGCTGACGGGATTGACGACGACGCAAGGTACAGCCCAGCGGCTCCTTGTAGCTAGGAGTTTCTGGAAGATCCGTTGGTAGTGATACACCAGGAGAGCCATGGGAAGCAGACAGGCGAGGAGAATGACAGGCACAGTGAAGCAGATGGAGAAGTTCACAGTGTCGGACATTGGGAATACGAGGGTGCAAATGGTGCCTGCGTCAGTGGACTGCTCGTGGAACCAGAAGGCGACAGGCAGGAAAAGAACTGCTGCAATGAGCCATGTGACAGCGGTGAGAATAGTGGCGAGCTGTGGGGTGAGCTGGGAGCGGTACGGTGGCACCACAATGCACCGGTGACGGTCCATGCTAATCAGGGTGAGAGTCCACAGCAAGACGAAGCCACACACGAACTGCACACAGAAACCATGACAAACATTATGCAAAGTATGCTGGAAGCTGTTGCTTGATTAGCTAGAGTACAAACAAAATAACACCGGTAACGGTAGTCGAGCGGTCTAAGGCATGTACTGTCTTCGCTCGCTCGGAAGCCAGGATCGTGGGTTCGAATCCCACACAAGGCATGGATGTTTGGTACGTATTCATTCTGTGTTTGTGTTGCCCTGTGTTTAGGCTTTGCGACGAGCTGCTCATTTGTTCAAGGAGTCCTACCGCATGTAAAATGATCATGAAACAGAAAAATCAGAGGCCAGCGCCCAAGGAGGCTGCAGCGCCAGTGAAAAAAAAAAAAAATAAAAATTACATGGAGCAGAGTCTTTCTGCAGAAACTGAAACTCTCTCAATTGGTCAGGAAGTTCTCTGAAGATTCATTACCGGCTCTCGATCCTATTCCTGGGGCATCACAATCTATTTCTTTTAAGGTCCGTTTTGATATTTTCCTCCTATCTATGCGTAGGTACCCAGGAGGTTCATCCCGTGTATCGTTCTACAGTTTTTTGTATGTATTTCTGTCGTTTCTACAGTGTGAATTGTAATACACGTTGCAGGAAAGTAGGTAGGGCAGAAGGTACTATTAAATCACGAAAAATAACGTTATTAGACACGGGGCCGGATTTATGGGGGAGCGTGCTGGGCGGTGTCACCGGTGCTTCCACAGAACAGATACAGAAACCACAGATTTTATTGAGATTCGTTTCTCTAAAACCACGGAAAGTTAGTATAATAAATAAGAATAAAAAAGTTGTCGTAAACTAAATTTGATTCTAAAGGGGTCTGATGATGGTGTACAAGACACATAATTAGTTAGTTAGTTATTTAGAGAGGGTGGGTTTCCCCATGCACCGCGACCAGTTTGATCTATTGTGCTTCCCTCTATGATATTCTACCAGTCTCTATACCCTACCGATAAATGGTGCGTACCATCAGTCCCGCCGAGCAAGCGAGTTCGGCCACTTGCTTAGCGGTGTCTATAATGCTTCCCCCATCTATCAGAGGCCTTAGAGACTATTGTTGGGCGGGAAACGTCCTGGAATTTGGCTCAGTGATCCCCTTTGGGGATATGAGGTTCTTTTACGTGCCGTAAAGTTACGACACGGGACACACAGCTTAAAGTCCCTCCCGGAGGACTTGTTCCCTGAATTTTTCCGCCCTTAAAAATTCGACGACCTCCGCCGGGTATCTGAACCCGCGTACTACGAGTCATGAGGTGGGAACGTTACCTCTAGACTACGGAGGCCGCTAAGACACATAATTACTTTTTTTTTTTTACTTTTTCCATCATCCAGTATTCTAGATAATAGAAAACACGTTTTGAAAACTGTATCTGTTTCCGTCTTCAGGTGAGGGGGGAGGGGGAAGACGCCTACTCAGTTAGACTCCTTAGAAAGAGCTAATCTCGGGGCCCAACTGCGTAGGTGTCTTCCCCTTCACCTGAGGAGGAACACAGATGCAGTTTCCGAGAAGTCGTGTTTTCTATTTTCTAGAATACCGGACGATCAAGAAGTCCGAAAACCCATTAATTCTGTGCCAATTTTTTTGTTATTGTCCTTCACATTCTGATGGCCCAGGAGCCCGGAGACCTGTAAATCAGGCCTTGTTTCTACATAACGAGTCAAACAGTGGAAATAATAAGCTCTTATACCCGTACAGCACTGAATTGGAATATTATCATATGTATACTGTATTGTGGGGTAATACGACCATATACTGCGCGAGACACCATTCAATTTTGAAAGTGACTCGTTCGTCCTATCACGAACATATGTTAACTAGCGCGGTAGTCCAGAGTTTGCACGGTACAAACCGCTTTGCAATGCAGAACGTGGATTCAGCAATTCACACGCGGAGGAGGTGAGGCAGATCAGCGTTTCAACTGGCGAAACATAAACATGTCGGGAAGCTCAGATGCTAAGAAATTTCGTCCTTTTTATCGTACCCGAAGGTTCCGCCACTGGTCCCCATCCTAAGCTAGATGATTACAATCCACACCCTTATGATCCAAAATAATGTTCTCCTCTCATTTACGTCTAGATCTCTTAAACGGTATTGTTTTCAGGTGCGTATTTCTCATCTCCTCTACGTATGCTACATGCCTCGCCCACCTCACCGTCGTTTTGATCACCCAATTTTATTTCATCAAGAGAAATATTATGGCGCTTCTAAACAACAGGCACGAAGCTGTTATTGTTATTGTTGTTGTTATTATTATTATTATATCATCATCATCATCATCATGAGAACGTTATATTATTTGGTTCGAAATTTATTCATCTTCAGGATTTTCTTTCGAACGAATAATGACGTCATCTTTACATTCTCGTATGCTCTCAGGAGTGTCACGAGATTCCACCTTGGGACATCTGTTGTTCAACATTTTTATTGATGATTTATGTTTCAGAATTTATTTTTCCGACTTTTTATTATATGCTGACGGTATAAGAAAAGTTTCATGCTATAGAGTCTGCCGAACATTGGCAATGTCCACAACAATACAGAAGTTGTACACTGGAAACTGCATGGAAATTAAGAGCTTTAAAACAAATATAATTTCCTTTACTCGTAAAACTTTCCAAGCGTGTAACAGGAGACCGTGAAGCTGACCACTACTCCCATTTAGTGATGAAGCAAGCATGAGTAATCTCACTGTGGTATGTACGTATGACTCCACTCGAGCTTCATCCTTGTTACTGCTATCATTACTGCATCATATGCATTATTATTCTGTCTCTTCCTGCTCTTCGCACATGGAGCAATGGGCACCCATGAAACGCTTCGTTTCACTTCAGTTTCTTAGATAGTCGGTAGGACTCCTTGGACGGGGGGATCAGCCCGACACGAGGCAGCTACCTACACAGGACAACACAAACAGAATAAGCGCAGACAGACATCCATGCCTTAATTGGGTTTCGAACCCGCGATACTAGCGTTCGAGCGGACGAAGACATTTCATGCCCTAGACGGCGCGGCCACTGCGGTTGACACATTATTTTTAATACCAAGAAAACGATATTCAATTACAGTACTAAGCAGTATAAGGTAACAAACGATTTGGAAGTGCTAAAGATAATATAGAAAACACATGAATATGAATAATTTGAAAAGGGGCAGTGGTAATTGTTCATGTCTGCTTTACTTTTGGTCAACAGGAATTAAACGTTCATTATATTATCATAAAAATAAATAAACAGTTCAACTATTTTGGTATGGTTTGTTTAACGAAACCCATGCGAACTACGGTTATTACAGGAAGTACGTAGGTAGGGTCATAATTGAGCAACTATTTCAAGGAAATAGCGGCTCCGGTCTAGAAAACCGAAATTAACGACCGTGGGGATCCGTTGCGCTGATCACGAGACACCCTCTGTCCGCTAAAGTTGGCACTAACTTCACACCGACAAGTGGCGGTCGCTCGGTCGGTATAGTTCGTTTGCGGACTAAAACCACGATGTTTGTTTTGATTTTTGTTTGTTTACTAGGTAGGGTTGGATTTAAAGGGGAGCGACCGGGGCACTTTCTTCTCTAAAATCACGAAAAGTCTTCTGGAATTTTTAGTTATTATAAGAAAGAAGAAAGGCCATAACCTAGATTTGTTGTTGCTGACACGGGCCTCCCTCACAAGTGTAAATCCGGCCCTGCAAGTCGGCCCGAATAATGTAACGAAAGTGCCGAGGAAACGTACTGAAAATACCGGTAGTCACTCAAAGAACTGGAATAATCCTAAAGAGTGTAAACAGACACTACGTATGAGGAACCGCGGATCTTCAGGGCCGAGTGAAACTCGTCTCCACCCGTCTTTCACACATCTTTTTAGAGGTTGAAGCTATTTGCTGTGACCTTTTGTGTGTGCCATGGTCGATGAGACATGGTATTCGCAGAAGCATTACCATTATTGGAGAAAACAAATGAAGACGGATGTACTGTTCCGCCGTTGACATTTACGCAGCGCAACACTTCATTAGGGTCGAGAATAGTGTGATCCCGAGAGCGATGTGTGTGTGTGTGTGTGTGGCCCAAATTAAAGTCTGCAGGATTTTGATTGTGACAGAATTCCTGGCTCAGAAGGGACACAAGTTTAATAATTTATGTAGCACTCGTGAAGAAATAAAGGTCAAGGCAAAGATTATCGGGTCAGAAATACTGCACATACGTCGTTACATATGAATGACCTTGACTACTTTACATTTGAGACGAAATCGGCTGTTGCTGGACAGACCATTTTCTTTTTGTTGCTGAACACCGAACAACGAAATCCGTATGATGACATGAGTCGGGTTCGAGGAAACTGATTTGTCACATTTCGGCCCTAGTATGTACCAATTGTTATTTCCCTCAAGATACCACAGAAGACGTTTTATTTAGAGGTATTTTTTCCCTTGGCACTACAGCCCCAGTGGGCCTAGGCCTACCTCCATGAACTCCGTTCACTTCGGTTTTTCTAGATCTTACACATTCGGTAGAACTCCTTGGGCGAGTGATCAGCTCGTCGCAAGGCCTCTACCTGTAGACAAACACAGAAAAACGCACACAAACATCCATGCCCTGAGTGGGATTCGAACCCACGATCCCGGCTTCCGAGCGAGCGAAGACAGTGCATGCCTTAGACCGCTCGGCTACCGTGACCGGCTTATTTAGAAGTATGGTACCCATAAATTACCGAAATTTAATAAAAAACGTTAGAGCCGATTTCACGAAAATCGCCGTTTTGTGTTTATATACACATATACATATACACTACATTGCAAAACCCCTTTCTCGATATCGGGGGAACCGAAAACGCGTAAACCTGTCAAATTCTCAAAGTTTATGTGAGAAAGTTACAGCTGTCCCTGTGTTTAATTAATTACCATACCATGAAAACTTACAGGAAATGGAGGCATGTCTTCTGAACTTGAGTACTATAACAGAATCATGTGGCAGCTTCACGTGTGGTCGCTTTATCCCCAGGAAAAGAGCCCGCCGTATCTACTAGATGGAAGACTGTGTGGGCCTCTGAGCCGGTCTGGGTGCTGTGGAAAAGAGAAAATTCTCTCGCTCCTGAGGGGAATCGAAGCAGCTCGTGTAGTCGCTATACTAGAGTTCAATGTTTATGAAACAAAAGCACGGAACATGGGTATTGCATTTTGTGACGTGACAGCGGCAGTAATGACGGATCCTGTCGGACAAGGTCACGGCAGTAATGACGTGTCTGAGTGCTGAGTAAGAGCGGGTGACTCAGTACGTTAGCCACCACGGGCGTAACACCTGTCAGATGGGAAGGCTGCAATCTGGAATGTTTCTTATTCACTCTTAACATTATATGGCACATTCCCAGTAGTTTCACATGTTGATACGTGGCATATCAGCCATGCAGTTGTCCTGTGACTGGCTTGACATTCGGTGGTATGAGAGCAATGTACGTCATGCAAGGCTCTAATGAGACTATATTTCCGTGGGTTTCTGGTGCGTTCTAGTCAGCTTTTAATCCAGTATACTCAGTGGAATAGAGGCTTATTGGATTATTCGGTGTCTCTGTCGAACTGTGTAAGTCCAAAGAACTGACCCATTTAAAAGCTAGAACTGTTCCCTTTAAAAGCTGGTGGTAGCTTAGATGTTCAAGAAATTTCCCGCTCTCTGTGGCGTCCAAACATCAATTCCTGTGTTCACATGAGACTGCCGGTGCCCCATGAGTTTAATCTGACCCAAATACTATATCTCTCTCTCTGTCTTTATGTCCTATGGTAACTTTTGAATTAGTTGATTACAGAAGTTTGGCAATCACTAAGAGGTCTAATACGACCGTCACTGTATGCTTCCAGAAATCTTAATCCAAATGCTTGAGGTGAAATGAGGACATCACACAAAATACCATTTCATTAATTGGTTCAATAATCTGATTCGTAAGTGTACGAGAAAGAAAATATCTCCCTTACAAGTAATGTTAACATGTAAGATTTGAGGCTTTCATAGCGGGGTTGTGGATTCTGTCTTCTGAGATATAACGCCATGTAGCCCGTTAAAAATCAATCGACTTTTCGCAAGAACGTGTCGCCTCCATCTTCATAGTCGAAGAACAAGCCGCACAAGAAACCAGCATCAAGCAGGTAACAGACAGAACAATCCGCTTGCTGAAACCGCAGTCACACGCCAATGCCCTAGATCTGAGACAGTAATTGAATCTTCCTGAAATACGACAGACATCTCGCATTCTGTTTTTCTTCCTGAAACCCCACCCGCAGTGCCCTATTAATGTTTCTGGCGCCATGACTTTGTTTAAACACTCAGTAGGCAGCTTTGGAGTAATCGTAAAAAGGGGTGGATGGAATTGAGGTTAAGACTGAAGAAGACCTCTTTGTTTAGCGGAGATATTCAGTACATCAGCTTTGTAAGGGATAGAAGAGAAGTGTGTACATTGCAGTCGGAAAAGAGACCTGACGCGAATAGACAACTTTGGAGACTTAACGCGTAGATGGGAGGATAGTGTTAAAATGGATATTAAGTAAACAGGATGTTAGGACGCGTAGTTGATCCGTATGGCTCAGGACAGGGTCCAGTGGCGGCCTCGCATAAACACGGTTTCTTAACAGGCGACGAATTTTTTTACTATTAAGTACTGCTTTCTCGTTCTTTGCGCCACCCACCCCTCTACACTGCAGATGGAGATAGTACGTCCTTCCGAAACGTCGGCGAACTTCTGTTGCACTACGAGGCGTTGTACCCCAGAGGGCTATACCCTTTTGTTTTCCGTTGCCGCCACATACGTCAGCAGAGGCGAAGAGACCAACTATCGGTAGTCTTTCACGCATACAGTGACGCTAGGCAAGAATATGGGCCGTGATTGCTCAGTCGGTATAGCAGCGGACTAAGGATTGGACGGGTTCGATTCCCGGCAGAGACAAGAAATTCTTCTGTACTCCACAGCGTTCAGACCAGTTCTGGGGTCCACCAAGTCTCCTATACAGTGGGCACCGAGAGAGCATTCCTCGGGGAATAAAGCGACCGGGGCGTCAAGCTGACCACTCACCAACATCTAATGCAGATGTCAAGAATAGTAGAGCTATACCTCCACTCCCTCATACGTCTTCATGGCGCGTCGTAAATCAGAGCATAATGGTTTCTTTTCCAAGCAGCCGATTCGCTTCCTCTAGATGAGTGCTGGACACTGATATGATGTACAGGACGATAATATTGGTTCTGGGAGAGTTTGGGGTGAAGCTGAACTCGGAACTTAGCACGAAATCACTTAGAATCAGTGAACGAACAACAATGTAGTTGATTTCTAGGCTATTTTAACGACGTCGCATAAAGTGCTGAATTTCTGGGACGTCGAATGTAATTTGGTAGATTGTTTATGAATTATAAAGAGGGAGAAAGTTTTCGTGACAGGAAAACATTCCGAATGCAGTCGATGAGGATTTCCCGAAATAGTCGCACGGTCGCTGTGCCAACCCGCTCAATAGCAATAATTAGTCAAGGCTTGGCAAAATGATTTTTTTTTTTCCTGTGGCGCTACAGCCCAATTTGGGCTTAGGCCTACCTCCATGAAACTTTCCGTTTCACTTCGGTTTACTATATCTTACACATTCGGTAGGACTCCTTGGGCGAGAGATCAGCTCGTCGCAAGGCCTCTACCTGTAGACAAACACAGAAAAACGCACACAAACATCAATGCCCTGAGTGGGATTCGAACCCACGATCTCGGTTTCCGAGCGAGCGAAGACAGTGCATGCCTTAGACCGCTCGGCTACCGTGACCGGCTGGCAAAATGATACAGCAGTAAATATCACATTTTATGTGGACGAAATTTGGTCTTTAGTAGTTTTGTAATTCCAGTGCCATCCTTTCATGCAGCACCAGAGGGATGCCAAATTAACTGATTTAGGTAGCTACAAGTTGGAAGGTCGCGGGTTCGATTTCCGATGAGATCATTGGATTTTTCAGTTGACCTAATCCTTCCAGGCGTACTATGACCTTGAGGTCGACTCAGTCTCTAACAGAAATCAGTACCAGGAATCTTCCTGGGGGTAAAGCGCGGCCAGCCGACGCGTAAGGCTGGCAATCTTACCGTCATTTGTGAGCCTCGACGTCTCACAACCCTACTGGCCTCCATGGCCTGTTACAGGAATAGCTTTACCTTTTTTTCTTTTAGTTTGAAGTAGGCGTCTAGGGCTCAGTTCCCGTTACAACTCACCAGGTTCCAGCCTTCACTCTCTAGCCGTGCATGAGTGTGAGATCGGTCACGACCCTCTTATTAGTATTTCATAATGTAAGTAATATATCTGCACATCCAAATATACACTCAAAGAAACTGAGAAAATTTCCAAAGTACATTGAAGCAGCACCAGAACAGTGATACACTCGAAACTGAACTGATGCTGTTGGTGGGGGGGAGAAGAATGGGGTCAGCAGGTAGCGAATATTTTGAAACAGCTCTAACGAACACCAGAAGCTGCTCCCCACTGATATCCTTACTCTGAGTTCACAATATTTGTGAGCCTCAAGCTGTGATCCACTTTACCTGCGAGTAAGGCAAAATCCTGCAGGTGGCATCTCCAAGCGCCCAGTCCTGCGTGAGCCGTGTGGCTGCCACAGCAGGAATTCCCAGCGCGAACACGAGGTCTGCAGCGGCCAGGTTGAGCAGGAAGCAATTGGTGACGGTCCTCATCTCTCGGTACCGCAGCACAGCCGCTGCGATGCTGCCGTTGGCCACGACCGATGCCAGGAACGTCAACATCAGGATGCCTACCTCCACGCCGGCAGCTACAGTCCTACCAGACCCGAACTGACTGTAGAACGTGAAGAAGGAGCGCAGGCCCCAGCCGCCATTGGTATCGTTACCGTACACGTACGAGGAATTGGCGCCACTGTGCGTTACCATGGTATCAGACATCACGTACATTTTTACCTCCAACGGTTTTATTGAAAATATATGATATTTCTTATTGTGGTATCGCTGTTATTTGTTCTATCATGAATGTGTTCTCTAAACCCAATATTACCGCTCGTACTCTATATTTTATGTTCTTATGTTCATTGTTCTTAATGACGGAAAGAAACAATGTTCCCAGTCTTACATTTTAGTGACACATCTGATTTATCTCCAGTCTCTAGCAAAATCAAATGGCGTTTATTCACAGAGTGACGTATGAATTTTAACCTACTTGTTGTATGTGCTATCAACTCGGCTATCTCTGAAAATTCGCTTTATTTGAGTGTCTCAGGTGTCTTCCTGTCTTCAGTATCAACACTTCAGATTTTGAAGAATGATGCTATAAATTATTTAACAAATATGTCAATGTGATACGTGGAATTAATCATTCACTTTTCACCATAAAATACAAAGTAATGAATAATTCAAAATGACTTCTGCCGCAGCGTCACGAGGAACCTCACTTCCTGCAACGCACACTTACTGTTGGAAAAAACGTCTACACACGTCGTATTTACGGCGGGCCTTATTTGGTGACGTAGCCAGTCAATGCGCAATAAATAATCGAAACGTCGTCACGAAGTTAAGGAAGTTGTATTCATATCAGGCGAAAGTCATTGAACCTGTGTGACTCGGTTAATCAATGGTGTCACTGTTCCCTATCGATTTTTGTTCATGGCTACAAGTGCGCCGTGCTTAATTGTTGCTAGAACACGCCTACCAATTACAGTGCCTTCTGGTGCATGGTGACTTGATGATCTGTATGCAGCGCATCTGCGGGATCCATGACCCGATGAATAGTACGACAATGCAGATGCATCCAGAAAAGTCTGAAACAGAAGGCAATGACAAGCATACAGTTTGCTGAACAGACGTTTGTTAGCATTCAGATTTATAAACGACGAAAAATATAATAATAATAATAATAATAATAATAATAAAAGTAAAAAAGCAAAGCTATCCCTGTACCAGGCCGTGAAGACCCATTGGGTTGTGAGTCGTTGAGGGTCCCACA